AGATGAAGATTTTAATAATAATAAGTTTTGTCAATTTTATGATGATTTGATGTCATATAAATTAACTTATCATAAAAATACTCAAGAACTTCCATTGATTTATTGTTATATTTTTTTCATAAGAGAAGATGAATTTTTGTTTGATGTTGAAAGAGGTACTATTGAAGAAATATAAAAATATAAAAATATAAAAAATATAAAAATATAAAAATATAAAAAATATAAAAAATATAAAAATATAAAAATATAAAAAAAAAAAATATAAAAAAAGAAAAAGTTGTAGTACTCCAACCTTTATCTTCTAGTAACTATTATTTTTAATAGAATATTTCTATTGAAAAATAATTTAATATTTATTCTTTAATTAAATCAAGATAAACAATAAAATCATCATTATCAAAAACATATTTTTTACCATTTTGATCTATAATATCTATTTTTATTTCTTGAAAATGTCATTTAACTGGTATGTATATTATTGAATTAGTTTTTGTATATGGATTATCATAATCATAATAAAAATTATACAAAACATCTTCCTCGATGTGATGACTATCTTTAACAGATGAAAACGATTTTTCAATTATATTGCAATGTACTTTTAATAATCGTTTATTTATATTATTATTATTATTATTATTATTATTATTATTATTATTATCTTCTCCAATGTGTTTATATAAAAAATACATTTTATCAATCCCTAAACTTGTTTTAAAATTTTGATCCATCAAAAAATCAGTTTTTGAAGTAAATGTAATACAATTATTATCATTTTGTAATTTAATACCTGATGGTAATTTACTATTCAATTGATCAATTAAATAATTTCCCTTTATCATAGTTTTAATGTTATTACTTCGACTCGTTATAACACCATTAAAATTTTTAAAAAATCCTTGTGTATAATAAATTTATGGTATTATTTAAATAATCATCGATAACATAATCATGTATGTTGGTATCAATAGTTAATTTATTTATTTCATTTATCGTAAGTATTATATCATCGTTTCTATCAGTATTCAATATTTCTTCTAATTCAGCTAATGAATAAATACCAATAGGTATTTTATAAATTGTATTTGAATTTACATCTTCATTATATATTTTAATCTGACATTCTTTCTCTATATTTATATATTGATCATTGGAAGTAGGAACATACATTGCTGATTTATTAATAGTTAATAAAAAATCAATTGTTATGTTTTGAAAGCCTAAATAATTTTTTTAATTTTTATCTAAATTATAATAACAAGGTGATTTTATTTCAATTTTTTTATGAACATAAGATAACACTAAAGGTTGAAATTGTTTGTTTAATTCATTAATACTATATTCTCCTTTTTTTATTTCTATAAATTTATCATTAATTTGTATTTTACAATCTTTAAACCAATTTAAACCAATTTAACCCTTTAATAAATATTGAATCCAGACCTATTTTATAATTATTATTATTATAATATTTGTTTGATAAATAAATACAACCGTTTTTAACTTTTATAAATACCATTTATAAAAGTAATTATATATATTTATAATAATTATATAATTATATATTATTATTATTTAATTCAAATTGTATCAATTGCTTTGTGCTTCCGTTATCTAAATTTTGCAATTCATTATAAACAAGATTAAATTTTTTCGAACTTAGATTATATAATGAAATATTTTCTTTTGTAAACACATCTAAAAATCTATCTGGTAAAAATACTTGCAATTTTTTATCTAATATAACAACTATTGTCTTACCATAAATTGTATCAATATATTTGAAACGAGTAACCTCATATTTTTTTCCTTTTTCTAAGTCACATACTTTTACAAAATCATATTGATCGTTGCATTTATTTAAAAGTGTTTTCAAATTTTCCATTTCTATTATTTATTATAATAGAGATGTATTTTTTTTTTAATAGCGTATTTAAATTATATTTTTTTCTAAATAACATAACAATGTTAATATTTACGGACAGACAGACAGACGGACGGACAGACATAATAACATTGAACGTCCGTCTGTCAGTCCGTCTCATGAACCGTGTGAGTCCGGTTTTTTTTTAATAATAATATATATATATCAGACACTTTGATGTATGTTTTAATAATTTGATGTTAAAAAAAATATTTACTAATAGAAATAATAGAAATGGAAAATATGAACACACTTTTAAATATGATTGAACAACAATGTAAAATCCTAAGACCTATATTTAATGATAGTGATATTGATATTGATTTTGATTCTGAAATTAGTAATATGTTATGGAATCAAATATTGGATAATTGTTGTTACGAAAATGTTGCAAAATATTTTTATTACAAAAAACATAATCAATTAAAATCATTTAACTTCCATTTCATTAGTAATTGTTGTTTCGAAAATATTTTAAGTTTTATTAAAAACAAAAATTATAATAAAATTAAACTTTCACTAAACGAACTACGTAAATTAATACAAGAGGAATTACATGATTCGAATAATAATAATAATATGGAGCTAGACTGATTATTTTTTAAACATCGAAAATTTAAATCGAATATAATACTTACGAAGTATTTATAGTACCTATACAGTGTTGTATAATAATAATAATAATAATAATAATAATAATAATAATAATATTGTATATATATCAACGGTAGACTGATTATTTTTTTAAGATCCGGTATTGAATATCTTATCATAATATATATGTATAGTTTATATTATGATGTTTTTTTTTATCGAATTATTTAAATAGTGTTTAAATAATCATTATACATGCCCAAGTGTTGTAGCTCAGTGGTTAACGCGTTTGATTTAAATGTGTTCTTGGTCGGATTGAAACTAGTGGGAGAATGTGTGGCGCCCATATTCACCTACTAATTTCATCAGGCTTTGAAGACGTTTACGGTAGATTGTATAGGTGGGTGCACACACCTATGCAATTTACTGAAAAACTGTCGTTGACCTGCTGAATAAAGCACTTGGGTAACTTCAGTGCCCACGATAGCTTTGCAGATATCTGTAAAAGAGTTCCGGCCTCCTTTTATCCTAACAGGTATCTGCAAAGCTTGGAATGATGATTTTGTAGATTTTTTGCATTTTTTTCCGTTTTTTCTATCAAAATTATTAAAAATAATACGGTCGTATAAGTCCTATATTTCATTTAATATTTGATATTCTCAAGTCGGATCAACACAGATATGTTTTATATGCTTATATACACTACATATTAAAAGTTTACCCCCCGCTTCATATTTTTCATTTAAGTATAACTCAGTTGCTATTTATGTTAGAATCTTCATTTTTACATTAAAAATTGTTGACTTTAATTCTTTATAAGTCCCCCTCATAGTATCTTAGTGTAAAAACATTTTCAAAGATTTTTGGATTGAACATTTTTTAATAGAACAATTCTATTAAAAAATTAAATTAATAATATAGTTATATTCTAATCATTTTGTTATCGGAATCTGTACCTCCCATGACAAGACTACATATTTTAATATTTCCTAAATCTTGAACGACACAAATATCATGGAGATATTTGAAACCATAAGTACCGGTTGTATTTATTAAATCATTAGCTATTTTACAAATTTCAAGCCATGTTGGCGATTCTAGTATTTTAGAAGCATAAGGCTTTCCATTTCCAGAAATATTGTTTCCATGATCGACAGTTAAAATATTTCCTTTAATTAGAATTTTATTTAGATTATATTTCATGATTTTAATATATATTTTTTTATTATTAGTATTAAAGTATTTATATTTACAGAACTTAACAAAGATTTCATTATTTAATATTGATTTTTCTATTTCGTTTTGCATTTCATTTTCATATACCTTATTAAATTTTTTTATAGTTTCCATTATCTTTATTATACATTTCATGATTTTAATATTTTTTTTATTATTAGTATTAAAGTATTCATATTTACAGAACTTAACAAAGATTTCATTATTTAATATTGATTTTTCTATTTCGTTTTGTATTTCTTTTTCTTGTACCTTATTAAAATTTTTTATAGTTTCCATTCTTTTATTATAAATTTCAATTCCTTTAACTCAGGTATTCAATTTCTTTTTTAATACATTTTTTTGCATTTCGATTTTTATTTTTAATAGATCAATTCTATTAAAAATTATTTTAATTATTATTGCATTTCGATTTTAATTATTAATAATTATGTTTTGCGGAAAATATTTTTATAATTTTTGAATTTCATAAGTTTTGCGAAAAATATTTTTATTATTATTTCATTTCATAAGTTTTTTTTTAATTTTTTTTAATTATTATTGCATTTCAATTTTCTGATCTTTTTGCACATTGTTTTCTTTGTGATCTTATACTGATATATTATTAAAGGTGCTGTGCCAGGATTGGCAATGGTGAACTACTCTACTCCATTACTTCCAAATATTGAAAAACATAATATAGAAATTACCCTTGAAATTCCAGTTGGGTCATCTTTTAAAAATACAATGAATTTAAATTACACATCTCAATTTGAATTACCACCCTTAACAAATAATTCAGTAAATTTAGAAGCTAATAATAATAATAATAATATTCAATGTGATGATGTTTCTAACTTTGAAAATAAAATTAAAAAATGGTTCTTACAATACAATGTTTCAAGAAATTGTGTGAATGATTTGTTGGGAATTTTAAGATCAGAAGTTAAGGACATTAATGAAAACACCAAAAAATCACGACGTAATAGACTAAGGGCCGTATTCATAGTCGATGCTTAAGAATAAGCATTGCTTAAGCTATACTTATGACTTAATTGAAATTCATAAACGAAACTTTTGTTTCAGAAAGAAAAAGTACTGCTTTAAGTATTGCATTTTAAAAAGGTTTGGGCTGACCATGCTTAAGCAATTCTTTTCATGATTATCATATAGGTAATTGTTATCGATTTATCGTTTTTTACTTCATAAAATCATTTTCAATTTTGTATTTACTTTTCTATAATACTCCTGTCATAATAATCATAAAATGGATGAACTTTATAATTTAATTGATTTTTATGACCGGGTTGCAATGCACGAACGAGTTCCCAAAAGGTATGTGAGAGATATGCAAAATCCAATAGATTACTACAGTGACAAAGAGTTCAAAAACAGATTCAGGTTTGTAAATATTTTCTGTAAGCTAATTATGCATATAAAAATAATAAATATGAATATATAAATCGTACATGATATACTTTGACAACATGCATTTATGAATTTAATAGATTTTCTAAAACTTCAGTTATTGAATGTTTAATGCCTCTAATATTTAATGAGATTGAAGCTGTCACTACAATGAGGGGTTTACCAGTTCCTCAACTTATTAAACTTTTAGCAGTATTACGATTTTATGGAACAGGAAACATTCAAGTAAAAAAAAAACATTTTTAATTATATTTAAATTAGAATATAAATACTTCTATATCAGTTATTTCTAAAATTGTCTAATTACAGTTAGTTTCGGGTGATTTGGTTGGAATTAGTCAACCATCAATAAGTAAATGTGTTAAACATATTTCCCAGGTTATTTTAAAAAGTTTTAAAAATTTATAAAATTTCCATCAAACCCACAAGAACAAAGGCAAAACCAATTGTTATTTTACAATATTGCAGGTAAGTTTTAGTTGAAATATAGAACTATATTTAGTTTGAAATAAATTTACAATTTTAATCTAGGCTTTGTTGGTGTTGATGGAACAGTAGATTGTACTCACATCCCAATACAAAGTCCTGGAGGAGACCAAGCTGAAAATTTTAGGATTTTAGGACAATATTTGACCGCTGGGGCACGTCATCACGTATGCAATCCGACTTCGTCGAATCGCGGACGACGTTCATTACTGTTACCGAAAAACCAAAAAAGTAATAAATTACTTGAAAAGTATTTAAAAATGTTGGACGTCCATGCAAATCATATAGCCGCCGTATTTTTTAGGGTGTCTCGCAGGTCAGTCACCTCGAATGACATTCGCTATAATAATAGTCCGGGTCACGTCATCACGTATGCAATCCGACTGCGTCGAATCGCGGACGACGTTCATTACTGTTACCGAAAACGCAAAATTAAAGGATAAATTACGTGAAGAAAATTCAAAATATTTCGCTTGTCCATTCATATCATATAGCCACCGTATGATTTTTTGGTGTCTAGCAGGTCAGTCATCTATGTTATCCGGGTAGGCAATGTGCGGCCGGGACAGCGTCCATTGCAGTCACCGATAACGCAAAATTAAGTAATGAAATACGTGAAAAAAAATTCAAAACATTTCGTAAGCAATCCGACTACCGAGTCACCTTCCTCGACGTAATTACGCGAAAATATGTTTTGGGGTCTAGCAGGATCTAGGGTCTAGCGTCGGATAGCGGACAACGTGTGACTTCTGACGCAAAATTAAGTAATAGGTCACGTGCAATAAAATTGGTATATGTTTTGGTGTCTAGCAGGTCAGTCACCTTCCTCGACGTTGGACGTAGCAACCCTGGTAGGCAATCTGACTTCGTCGGATAGTGTGACGTCCGGGTCAAGGCATGAAAACGCCAAATGAAATCAAATGTATATAAATAATAACATTTCGGGCGCCCGTTCTAGTCCTAATATAGACGCCGTGATTTGTTGAGTGTCTAGCAAGTCGGGCGGCCACGTTTAATAGTTTTTGTCGTTTATAGTAGGTAGTAGAGCGATTTAGAAGCGAAACTCGATAAGCTGATTGGGATTTTGTTTCCCCATGATCCTCAGAAAAACACGGAAACGTTTCCGTCAATCATATTTATATGACGAAAAAAAATCGAACTTTTCGTCGCATATTTTCATTTCCGTATATAGTAATAACGACACTGTCAGCTCTCCGATCTCCTCCGCGGCACTCGACTCGAGCGAAGTACTGACTTATACATTTGGCGGGGAACGCGAATAAGCCTTCGACGGTGAAACTCGAAAAAATCGTAAAATGTTCGTTATAATATGATAAGGCTGAAGTGAAATCGAAAAGTAATAATAAAGAAAAAAGTGAAAAAAAAATTCCGGCGGCCGTGCTACCTATCTACCTACCTACTGAGTTCAGAACGCGATATTCGAGAAAAAAAAAGGAACCTTCGACGCATGCATTTCGATGCCTGTATATATTAACACCTACTCGACGGTGGTCGAGTAAATGTAGAGGGGGACGCGAATAAGTCATCAACTGGGATTGCAGAAGTGTCGAAAAGGGCTAAAACTGGAAATTTAGAAAAAAACGGCAAACAACGACGCGACGCATTTATTTAGCGTTACCTACTCTCGTTTCTGAAAAAGCAGGGCCGCGCGCCGGCTGTAAATTTAGCGGGGAACGCGAATAAGATCCAAACGGGGAGGGCGATACGACCGAAACGGGCTAAAACTCGAATTTTTGAAAAAAACTGCAAAAAAAAGAAAATCGAAGTTTTCGACGCACATATTCACGCCCGTGTATAGTAATAAATAGTATCAAGGACTGCTTTGACGGGGAACGCGAATAAGTCTTCGAAGTCCGTAGAGGCGGCAAAATTCGAATTTAAAAAAAAAACCGAACATTTTCGTTAAATACGATAAGCCGGAAGTGATAGCGAAACGGCGAAAAAAAAATTCAGATTTATCACGGCGGCCGCAAATTATCGAAAATCCCGGCGGCCGGGTTCAAAACCACGACCCTCGAGTAACTTGTCCTAACGCCTAACCAACCTAGCCACCTACTGAGATGAAATTCAGAGTCAAATGTATGACTCATAAGCCACGTCACCGTGCACGCGAAAGGCGAACGCCGTTTGGACGGCCGTCAAAAGGCGTTTGAGGGGGCGATCCGACCGCTTCGGCGAGCGGACCTCCGGATCCGCCACCCTCTGACGTATGAAACGCGAGATTTGCGAAAAAAAATCGAACCTCGAGACGCATGTATTTATGCCTGTATATAGCGATACGTAATCGGTACCTACTCTCGTTTCCGCGACGCCACTCCACCCCCAAAGCTCATTTTTGAAAAAGTAGGGCCGCGCGCCGGCTATAAATTTAGCGTGGAACTCGAATATGTCTCCGACGGGCAGGTCGGACGTCTCGTAGAGGTGCTAAACGCGACTCTAGTCGAAAAAGTCGAGAAAACCGTCGAAACGGCGACGACGCGGCGCTCTCGGCTCTCCGAGCGTCGCTGGGGGACACCCCCAGACCCCCGTGACCGGACCCCGAGTGTTGTCGATTTCGGAAGCAGCTGTGGTCTCGTGGTGTGGTCGACACGGTATATCGGCGAACAGGTGGTATGCCGATAAGGATGTGTGATAAGGCTAGGACCACTGCGGTTCGACGTGGTAGCCAGGGCAGAGTCTTTGACAGAGTCTTTTCGACGACACCACCGGAAATTCGAAATTTGGTAAAAAAATAATATAGTAATTTTTGTGGATGTCTAGCAGGTCAGTCACCTCGAATAACGTTCGCCGTAGTAATACGGGTGGGCTATCCGACTTGGTGCGACGGCCGAGTTTTATAGCCGCCTTTTTGTGGGGGTGTCTAGCAGGTCAGTCGCCTTCCTCGACGTCACTGCACATAGGACATGAATCATAACGCAGAACCTACACACGATTACGAAAATCTAATATAGTAAAATGAAGTATAAAAAATAATAAAGTCGTCGTATTTTTGTGGGTTTCTAGCAGTTCGGACACCTAGAATGACGTTCGCCGTAGTAATAGTGTTTGGGGTCTAGCGGGTCGGTCACGTTCTTCGACTTTGGTCGTAGTCACCCTGGAAGGCAATCCGACAATATTCGACGGCTGGGGCACGTCATCACGTATGCAATCCGAACTCTGGCGCAAAATCAAGTAATAGGTCACGTGCAAAAAAAATGGTATTAGTCTTGGTGTCTAGCAGGTCAGTCACCTTCCTCGACGTTGGACGTAGTAACCCTGGTAGGCAATCTTACTCCGTCGGATAGTGCGACGTCCGGGTCAAGGCATAAAAACGCCAAATTACGTAAATCAAAAATATATGAATAATAACATTTCGGGCGCCCGTGCTAGTCGTAAATTGTAATTTATTCGCCGTGATTTGTCGAGTGTCTAGCAAGTCGGGCGGCCACGTGTAATAGTTTTTGTCGTTTATAGTAGTAGAGCGATTTAGAATCGAAACTCGGTCAGCTGATTGGGATTTCGTTTCCCCATGGTCTTCCGAAAAACACGGAAACGTTTCCCCGCACCGACATTATGTCAGACCCAATGTCTCTCGTATCACATAATAGGCGGGAATTAGTTATCCGCTGATACCGCCGAGTGGATAGACGATAAACGGTCGGTGATAAGGCCTACAGGTTTGGCGGTATTCTGTCGAAGGCGGGAATGTTTGAAAACCATTTTTGCGTGTGTATCAATAAAATCGAGTGATGACCCTAAGGCATTATTATGAACATATGAAAAAATTTTGCAAAAAAGAAATAATAACGATGGCCAAAAGTGTAAGGTTTAATGCCGTGTTCGAATGAATGAATAATATAAAACTATAAGATAATTAATTTGTCAATACAATAAATTAATTAATCGGCCGTGTGATATCGTTACCCGCATGGGTTACCTGCCTTGACTCTTGTGATTGTCGCCGTTCTAAGACCAAGCACTGCGCCGACGTCCGACTTTAAAATCATTTCATTCCAACTTTCTCAACCAGAAACACGTGAGTATACATTGTATTATAAATTTAATTGGTGGCTTTTTAAAAACCTTTTTTACACCGCAGATCGTAGGTAATTTATCAATTAATATAATGTAACACATGCTTTCCGATTAACGAATTTAATATTTTATTTTAGTTTTAATTTAATATTTAATAATACCGACAGATCACTTAAAGTTTCGTTTTCCTATACACTTTCTTTATTGCTTTTTATTCATCAACTTTAGAATGATTAACAATGCATAGAACATTAAAGGTAATAGGCGCAAGTGTACATTAGGAGCTTGTTTTTTAACACGTTTAACGCGGATCGTATAATATTAGGCTAGTATTTTGCGCAACACGTGATTTTTGTCAAAGGAATTTATTGCTTTGTTTTACCATCCATTTTTTTTTTATTTCTTTTCATTTATTAACTTTAAAATATGTACAATAACATTAGCTTGTTTTCGACACATCCAACGCGGATCGTATTTATGAATGAATATTTAAACTTAGAGGGCTTACTTTTTTGTAAGCACCTGCCCACGCTTATTCCGGCAAAGTACCTAGTTAGACGCTTATACTATGTGTACGCACAGGTCTGAGAGAAAAAAACAAATAATATATCGAGCTGACATCCGCTGAATGTTTCGTCTTTTCTATTTTTTCTTTATTGCTTTTTATTTGTCAACTTCAGAATGAGTAACAACGTATAAAACATTAGCGACAATTGCCAAGCGTAGGTACACGAGGGCCTTGTTTTTTTAACACGTTCAACGCGGATCGTATATATCAATTAATAAATTATCATAATAATATAAAAGTTTTACTATACACTTTCTTTATTTCTTTAGAATGAGTATAATAAGATACACTGGATTGTTTTTTTAACACGTCCAACGCGGATCGTATTTATGAATTATTAATAGCTTATTATAATAATATATAAATTTGCGACGAAAATCGTGCCTTAGTTTTGTCTGCAACACATGGTTTCTGTGAAACAAATTAAATATTTTTTCAATTTTAGTTTTTGTTTTTAACACACGGAAAAAAATAATTTAGTTATAGTAAATGGTTATTTTATTTCGGTTGGTCGAACCATATAAAAGGTTACTTTTAACCATTTTAATAGGTTGCAACAACGTCACGAAAGTGGTTGCAAATAACATGTCTACAGTACTACGAATTTAATAATAGTTTTGCAGCTGCAGTTGAATTGGGTTTGTGTACTGTATTTACAGATTATAATTGGGAATTTTGATCGATTATACACAAGATATCGATTTTATCATTGATAATATTGTTATATGGAGTATGGACGGACGTATGGTGATCACTGTTTATAGTATTTGTTATTCCCCGTCTACCAATACGTCCTAGTACCTATTTCACATTTTGATTTTCGACTTTTTTGGTCATTGTGTGTAGTAGTGTACATTATTCATACGTGCAACGTGCGACGTGCCTACGTCTATATTATAATACATTATACATATTATATAACAAATGGACTGTATGTATTAAATATTTTATTATTTAATCATGGATAATTTTGTTGTAAAGAACTTAAATGAACTCAACATTCCGCAAAGTATTGTTCAAGAATTTATAGGTAAGTTTCATAAACCTAAATTAATAAATCCTAGTTTACCCTAAGACTAGATTTAATCTATATAGTTATTTGTCAGAATGTAACAAGTTAGTACTAAGTTAGGTACCTAAGTTAGTACTAAGTTAGGTACAGTAGGTACCTAGTAGTCTATAGGTAGTACTTATTAGAATTTATATTATAATATTATATTTTGTAGGTATATAATAGGTACACCGTACACACGTGTCACCTTATATTTGTTGTGTACTTGTGTCTATCACTGATCCCACTACATAACAATTTATATTTCTTTACAAATTCCATACATTTATAATAGGTAATACTTATAATCCTTTAGCTTATTACAAATTAATAAATATATGTCATCTCCTTTTATCGGTATTGATAGATCTGTGTATTCCTACTAGGTCATCGGTAAGTAAAGTAAAATATGTTATAGGTATTGACAATTTATTTAATCATACATTAAAGTGTACTTGGGATAACTAAATCAAATTTATAAACATCAAGATCCTCTATTATTTCCCCATTTGGTAATAATATGTCTGACTGTATCAGAAATAGGTAGACGATGTTTTGTAATTAATTTTTGCTTGTTATCTACCCAAATATTATTTTGTAATGGTTAGATCAAGGAGTAGATGAAGAAGCTTTCCGATGCTTAACTGAATCTATGGTGCGAGAGCTTTGTCTACCTATGGGTCATCGAGCCAAAATAGTAAAAAGAATTTCAGAATTGAAGTCGGAGTTATCATCTAATGTCCAAGTAATAAAAGTGTGCCTAATAATGTGTACCCAATTGTACCTATTAATAGTTAATACTATATTGTATGCATTAAACTGTATTATTTATTATAGAATTCATGTAATTCTTCTTCGGAGACCTCTGTTTTTAATATTTTAACTGATGGTAATTTGAGTCATGTAAATGATATACTGAACTCCCATGAAACCTTGCAGACAAATTTGGATGATTCAAGTATCTATGCTTAATTATTTATATTCTTGTTGTGTTAAGCATTTACTATTTAATAATATAATTTAAATAAATTGTAGGTATAGAAATTATCAATCAGAATTTTTCAACTCTTGGAAACTGTATTACTGATAATAAAACTAGCCCCTGCTATACGAACACACATTTCACCAGCTTCATTGATACTCCTACTAGGACCAGCTTTATTGATATTCCTAGCACCAGCCTTATTGATACTCCTAGCACCAGCTTTATCGACACTCCTAGCACCAGCTTTATCGATACTACAGTATGTTTTTTAAGTACCTAACTAGTATATAATATGACTGTATGCAATCTAACCATTATTTTATTACTGTTAAATGTATTTTGTTACAAAATTGTTTTACGTACTAAGACACATTACAATTTTTTTTTTATTTTTTGTTACAGTCATTAAATACATCAATTAGTTTAAAATCTATTTTGAACAGTTATCATGAAGGCAAAATAATTTTAGATAATTATTTAAAGAATAATGAACTAAATGGATTGTTGAGGAATAAATTATCTCATATAATAGTAACGCATTTGCTCAAACAAAGTGAAGACAAAAAAATATCTACTGAAAAATTAATTGCAGTATCTTTAGAAATTTGTTTTGTATTTCCTCAAGAACATAAAGAGACTTATTATACTCCCTACAAAAAAGAGGCAAATTTAGTATCACCAGCTAGAGGAAAGTTGTGGGATAAGTATAATAATCTCAGAAAAGAAATTAGGAAAACAAACCAAAGATTGACTAAAGAGATTACTCCTGAAAATAGTTTTATACCAAGTGAAGGTATAGTAAATATTGTAGAATTTATTCATTAATATATTTATTAATATTAAATGTGTTATTTTGTTTGGTTAAGAATTAGCAGATGATATAATATGGCTGAAAAATAATATATCACCTTGGAGTATTGTTGAAAACAAATGGCTTAAAACATTTCAAGAGAGATATAGTTATTTATTAAGCGATGATACAAATAGTTGTTATCTATCAGTGTATCCTCCATTAAAAAGTCCACTTGGATTTACATTGGTCAGTATGAATTAACTTAAAGCTAAAATTACTTAATACAATTTTTTATGAGTTATTTTTACATATTTGATTACAGATTGATTTGGATTTTAGTCAGTTATACCCCCAAAAAACTCTGATACTTTTTTCCAAATTTGAAATTTTAAAAAAGAAATTATCAAATTATATAAATAAATATAAAATTAAAGGAATTAATAGTAATTTGATAGATGCGATCATAAATCCTCCAGATTCTGGTAAGTTTTAACAAATTATTATTACATCAAATATGGCTCCTATTTAAAAGTTCTTGAAATGAAAAATGTATTACTTGAAATTAATTTTTAATACATAAATGTTTATGCTTTATAGGCATTGACACAGTTGCTGCTCTAAAAGTTCTGGTAGAATTATTTAAACCAATAAATATATCAAAAAGAACATGTACTGGATCAAAAAAAAATTTTACTAGACCATCTAAATTAGAAATTCAGCAATCATTCATTTACTATGCAAATGTATGAATTAATTAATTTTTAAAACTTAATTAATTCTTTGAAATAAGTAATTTATTATAGTTTAATTTACTTACAGACAGTGTCACAGTTGAAAGAAGTAGACGATGAAAAATGTAACAAAGCGTTAAGAACGGGAGAAAAACTACAACCATATATAGTTTTTGTCGAGACTGACAGTCAGGTGACTTATTTTTATATAGTTATCAACAAATTTTTTTATAAAGTTGAGAGCGCATTAAAGGCAATTGATATATGTTTTAAATCTTTCTTCGTTTTCAATTTACATTATACACCACAGTGTGAACAAATTTGGTATTTTATACAAACATTTATCTATGAAATAACTACAAAGTTTGACAAAAATTGTAGTCCAAATGTCACTATTTTAGTTAATGACTTAAATAAGTGTTAATTAACTAAAATGTATTAATAATTTTAATTTTAACAGTTGCAAATTTAATTTTTTACTTTCAAGCATTTACCTTTTTAGTTATTTGTTGCACTAAAATGTATTTTAATTTTAATTATATTTAATAAAAACAATTGTAAAATGGCATCATGCTTTATTTGTTTAGTTGGTGTAAATTCTTTTAAAAGTCTTATCAGGCATATAAAATTATTTCATTCTTTTGAGAATATAATAGAGTACAAATGTATAGAACCATCATGCGGAAGAAGTTATAACTCTTTTGATTCTTTTAGTAGACATTTGTTAACTCATACTTTAGTGAACCAAGAGTCTTCTAGCAATTTACATATAGAACCAACACAGATTGATGATATTTTGAATCAACAATCTAATGAACAACTAGAAATAAGTTCTTGTAGTAACATATCTATTAAGGCATTCAAGAATCTAGTTACTGAGGATGGAATAATGCTTATATCAAAATGGTATAATGAAGCGGTTGTACCTAGGAACAAAGTGCAAATTCTTATAAATGACTTAAATGGATTTAATGATAAGTGTATGCAAATTCTAAAAAAAGAAGTATTAGATAATTTAAAAAAAAATAATTCTGATGAAAATTCAATTAGTAAAATATCAGTTATGTTCGATGTTATTAATGATCCGTTTACATACCATTTTTAATTGGTCAACGTATAAGTACAATAGGGTTTAATGAACATTTACAAGCATATAAAATAAAAAATTGTGATGATCTATTATGTATTTCATTTGATGATCTACTTGTAGAACAAAGTCCTTGTGTTTGTAGCACAATGTCTGATGGTTGTACATATGTATCTTGTAATTTTTAAAAAGTAACTATATATTTTATACCATAAAATAATAATGTATTTTTATTTGTTAAATATTTTTTTTTTCATATTAAAATGTATAAATAATAATATTGTAGGTATTACCTATTTAAGGGTATATTTTAAATTGTTTATTTATATTAAAATGTATCAAAGATAATTTATTCATTATATTTTGTTCTTAATTATTTATTCATATATATTATTAAAAATGTATATAATATATGATATAAATTCCCCCTCCTATATCCTAGTGATTATACAACCATTTTATTGTGGTTACTACAAACGATGAGAATTGTTACCATAACCTTACAATATTGTTGGAAATACTATTTATTGCTTTATAATTACAAAACAATTTAGGTTGGGATAACCGTAGTGTATGGTTAATGGAACCATGTAGGCTGGTAGAATTTCTAACCAAATTGTTTGGTTACATCAACTGAATTATGACAACCAAATGGGTTTGGTACTTGGAACTATGATAAATGGTAGTCCCTATACCTACCACTGAATTTGGTTAGGATAACCATTTAATTGGTATCTACAACCATACATTTTTTTCCGTGCACGTTCACCTCCGATCGCATTAATCAAATAATATTGTTATACCATATAGGTACATTTGCGAAGAAAACCGTGGCTTAGTTTGAGTGTGCACCACATGCTTTTGGTTTAACGAATTTAATATTTTATAATATCACCAACCTAATAATGCAGACCAATCAATTGTCTTTTTCAACTTACTTAATTTACTTTTATTTATAAACTTTAGAATGAGTCAAAATATTTATAAAAATATCCAAAACTGCCAGTTCTACATGGGCCAAAGCCCAAAAGGAAACCGCGCCCGACGTAAGCATACATTTGGTTAATATATATATTGTATAAAATTAGAAACGATTAAAATAATATCTACCCGTTTCAGAATGTAACAATTGCGGAAGAGAGGGTCACCTCTCCCGGGATTGCGGTGAGTGTTTACTTTACATATTCCTTAATAACAGTTTTATTATTATATTGTATACAATTGTAATTTATATTGTAGCTAAGCCCAGGGGTGTAGGTGGTAGTGGGGGCGGCGGCAGAAGGCGTCGGGGAGGTGGTGTTGGCAGAGGCAGGGGCGGTGGCGTCGCTGGCGGCGGCGGCGGCAGTGGTAGTGGTCATGATGGTGTTAGGCGGCGGGGAGGTGGCAGAGGAGATGACCATCCAACGCCCCTCTCCAGATCCCGCTCACAAGCATCACGGCCATCATCAAACGTAAGGATTCATTAATATTTTTAAAAAAAAATCCAATTACATTTCTATGTAAGTCTAACTAAAGAATAATTTTCAGGAGGTCCGTCGGCAGCGACAGCGCGACGATCGTCGTGATGGTGGAAGGCGGCTGGGAGGTGGCAGAGGCGATGACTATCGAAGGCCCCTCTCCAGATCCCGCTCCCCAGCATCACGAGCGACGTCAAGCGTAAGGATTTATTAATATTTTTAAAAATAAATCCAATTACATTTCTATGTAAATCTAATTAAACGAATAATTTTCAGGTGGTCCCTCGTCGACGGTCCTCGAGGCCAGCGTCACCACCGTCCAGCGTTGTAAGTATATTATATTAGTAAACAATTAAAAAAAATATTCAAGTTTTCGAAATTGATAAATCTAATTAAACAAATTATTTTCAGGAGCTCAACGTTGAGAGCACCGGCTCGCCACCACCAAACGCTGTAAGGAACTATTTATATATTTAAGTTTTCGAAATTGATAAATGTAACTAAACGAATGATTTTCAGGAGATCCGTCGGCATCGACAAAGCGACGATCGTCGTGATGGGGGAAGGCGGCTGGGAGGAGGCAGAGGCGATGTCGATCGAAGGCCCCTCTCCAGATCCCGCTCCCCAGCATCACGAGCGACGTCAAGCGTAAGGATTTATTAATATTTTTAAAAATAAATCCAATTACATTTCTATGTAAATCTAATTAAACGAATAATTTTCAGGTGGTCCCTCGTCGACGGTCCTCGAGGCCAGCGTCGCCACCGTCCAGCGTTGTAAGTATATTATATTAGTAAACAATTAAAAAAAATATTCAAGTTTTCGAAATTGATAAATCTAATTAAACAAATTATTTTCAGGAGCTCAACGTTGAGAGCACCGGCTCGCCACCACCAAACGCTGTAAGGATCTATTTATATATTTAAGTTTTCGAAATTGATAAATGTAACTAAACGAATGATTTTCAGGAGATCCGTCGGCATCGACAAAGCGACGATCGTCGTGATGGGGGAAGGCGGCTGGGAGGAGGCAGAGGCGATGTCGATCGAAGGCCCCTCTCCAGATCCCGCTCCCCAGCATCACGAGCGACGTCAAGCGTAAGGATTTATTAATATTTTTAAAAATAAATCCAATTACATTTCTATGTAAATCTAATTAAACGAATAATTGTCAGGTGGTCCCTCGTCGACGGTCCCCGAGCCCCGCTTCGCCACCGTCCAGCGTTGTAAGTATATTATATTAGTGAAAAATTTAAAAAAATATTCAAGTTTTCGAAAATGATAAATCTAATTAAACAAATTATTTTCAGGAGCTGTACTTCGAGGAATGCTGTTCGCCACCGCCAAACGCCGTAAGCATATATTTATATACATTTATTTAGGTGTTTGATATTGATAATTCTAATTGAACACTTCATTTTCAGGAAATAAGTGCCTCGGCCAATAAGTGCCATGATGCCTCGGCAAAACGATGTAAGGATATAATATAAATACTTTAGTTTTTGAAATTAATAATTCTAATCAAACATATTATTTTCAGGTACCGAGAGTAGAAGCGAAGTGAGCGAGAAGTAAGTTTTTAACAGGAACATTTTTTCTCAACAAACAATTTTCTACGTTTGTCCTTTATGTTTTTTTCAGATGTTCAATAAATTGATGACTTCAAAACATGACTATTTTATTTACAATTTTATTTTATTTTCCATTTCCTTTCCAACTATATTTTTAAATGACTATGTGTGTAGGTACTGCGCTTACGGTCTGAATGGTTTTTTTAAATTTATATTTGTTACCAATACATATAGTTCATACTATTACAACACCATAAATTATATGTGTGGTGTGTGGATCAAATAAAATAATAGTTATAAGGGTTCTAAGGATGTCGGTGAAATTAATGACCTGAGGTAAGATGTCTAAACTGTGTAACAAATAAAGAAATACGCAATCGGTACGACGTCACTAAAAGATTTTAGAGCAGTAGACTACAATGAGTAAAACAATTGTATGAATATTGACTAATAATAGAATATAATTTACACAACTATTAAATATTGTTTAACAGTTTTGACATAAAAATACCTATAATATGTATTAAAAATAGTTAACAGAAATATATATAATATATCGTGCTGACATCCGCTGAATGTTTCGTCTTTTCTATTTTTAGAATGAACAATTATATAACCGTTTTCAAGGGGCCGGTGACAAACGGGCGGTTCACGAATGGTCCGGCGGTGGCAGACCCGCCACCGCCGATCGCCATACGCGGCCCTGGACCGGCACCGCCGCGCGCCATCCACGGACCGTGACCGCCACCGCTGCTCGTCATCCGCCGGCCACGACCAGCACCCCAACCGCCGCCCGTTCGAAGAAGGCGAACAGAAGTAAGTAAATAGGTGATAGGTACAATTAAAATGTTTACTATTAACTAACGCTTACATCGTGTTTCAGGATGTTATAGATGCCAGAAAAGAGGGCACACGGTCCGGCAATGCCTCGGTAAGTGTATATCGCAGTTTAATAATAAATTAAAAATGATATTAATAATGTTTGTTATATTTATAGCCCCCCACACGCCAGCACGTGAGAGGCAGCAGGGACCACCAGCCATCCGACGTGGGGGCGGATCGACCCGGGGTTCGATCAGGGTGAGGCCGCCGCGGAGTCTCCTTGAAAGGTCGGCTTCCGCGGCGCCCACCCCAATCGCGACGTCGACCCCGACGTCGTCACCCGTAAGTAATATCTTTAAACCTAATAGCGCTAAATAAATACAAAATTGTAGGATATGAATGAAAGTGGACCAGCCCACATGTGGTATTGGATAGACCACTGCAAGTTGTGAATTTGAGAATAGCTTTTAATGCCATGTTTAAAATGTTAATTATATGAATTATATAAATTGCAGACGTTGTTTGAATCGATGGCTGGTGCATCTTGTGCCTCGGCCCTTGCCCAGCTAGAGGGGCTGCTTCTCAACACCGTAAGTTGTCAATTGGAGAATTTTATTTAATGCCATTATCCTAACAATATTCTTTTCCCTTTAATATTTTGCAGATGCGATGAATAAACAACTTTTATTTTCACATGTCTTGTTTTTATTTCCTACCTTAATATAATAATCATGGTCAACACATTAGTTAATATTAGTAGGTACCCTATGTGTTAGGTTTAATATTTCAAGAGGTTTGATGTAAGCCGGTATTTTAAAATATGTTTATTTGTGTAATTATGTATTTAAATATTTGTTGCCATTGTTAGATATGTATAAGAGCAATAGGCAGTGTAATACAAAGAACATAGATATGCAATTATATGCCATATGTTAAACATTATAAAATGTGGTATTTTTTTAAAAAGAAAACACATTTTTACACCAAGGAAAGTAGGTACCTGCTAGATATTCTATCAGAAACAAAAGAATAATTAAATAGTTAAACATTTAATACTTTAAAAACCAAAATGCAATATTTTATAATCTTAATTTTTTCATATTTTAGATTGTTTATAATACAATGTCTAAAACTCTCAGAAAACTAAAAAAAAAAGAATCAAAATAAAAAAAAATAAATTGAAAAAAAATTTGTAAAATTGAGTTACTGCTTTATTCATTGCGCACGTTGAATAGTAACAACATAGTAAGCCATAGTATGTGATTTATTGTTGTTAATATAATATTATCTATTCGTGCTCCAATCTCATGAAGTGTAGCAAAAATGATAATATTTATAGAATAAGAGACCCTGTCAACGATTTTTGTCTTTAAAATTACTAAAATGTATTTATCTTAAATTAAAATAGATAATTTTTGCAGAAGTATTGCGAAATCAGTCCCCGCAGTGCCGTCGGTTTATACAGTAAAAAAAAAAAAGGTAATTTATTAAAAACCCATTAAATATGCATTTATGAACCAATATGCAATAATCCTCTAAATATGCAAAATATGCAATATACAATTTGGTATTTAATCTCAGTGTGAGATGAACAGCAGACATTTTGAAAGCTTCTTGACGTGCATACACTTAGTACAAATATTCAAATGCATATAAATCCGAGCTCTTATCATTATAATACGGTGACGATACAAATAAAACGTTAGGTTGGGTTAGGCTATTAAATATAAGTCATGAGTCGCCTTGCAATATTTTTTTTATTCTTACATAGACGTTACAAATTACCAGGAAATTACATAAGTAAAATACAGTAATATTAGTTTATAGCATTGAATTGTGTGAAATAGTAGTATGATAGGTATGTAATAATACATAGTGATGATACAATTAAAACGTTACGTATCAAACGTAACAATACAGTCTACTTGTGATAAAAGGTGTTACAACGACTATTAAATAGATACAAAGTAAAAACAAATGTAAAAAGTTACTTAATATAATATGTCGATTGTTATAAAAAGTTATTCATACTAACACGAATAGTAAAGTAATAGTAGAGAGCTTATAATAACAATAATTGGTAGTTGAATACCAACTATAATAATATTATATGAACAGATATTTAGATTATTATAAAAAGTTAGACATAATAGTGAAAACATATTATTATATTGTATTAATAATAACAATTGGCGGTTAATAAAGTATAAAACAAAATGTGAAATGTTCCACAATAGCACAGTGTAACAAATGTAAATACAATCACAGTATAGGATTGTGAATACAATGTCAACTATAATGATATTTATATTTTATATTAACAGATAAAACGTTATTCGTTCAGACATAAATTGTGGTTAAAAGTTATAGGCATAGACATAAAAGTTAAAGCATAGTATAGTATATTAAACTTACAATTAATTATAATAACAATAAATTGGTGGTTACAAAGTACCTACCAAACGAAATGCAAGAAGTTACATAATATATGTATTTTCAATCGATACAATCATAGCATAAAATGTAAAAATTCTACTAACGGATCTTGAGATTATTAAAAAAATTTATCCATTCAGATGTAAATAGCAAATTGTGTTTAAAAGGTAATATTATATAATCAAAATTCAAAAGTAAAAACAAATTAAAAAAGGTACATAATATATTGAAACAAATTAATACAATTAGAACTAATATAGATATATTCAAAGTTACTCATACAGACTGTTTGATAAAACTTTGTTGTTATCATTTCTTATCATGTACCTTGATATCAGTTTATTAACCATGTTATATTTTAAGGTTATGGTTATATTTTATCGTTTTAGTACGCGCTCTTTTTTGATAACATGTTATGCTTTTTCGTTTTCAAATACACAAGACATACAGTCCACATTCGACAGAAAAACCTCATGTTCTTTTTTACACCCATTTACATTTTCTATTTACATTAATGGTCCTTCGGGCCGGATCCATCAGTTTTTTACATCCATTCGCATCGACTCGTACACAAGTGCGTTCGATACCTGCAGAATTTCACAAGTAAATTTACATGCGGCGCTCGAAATGTTTAGTTCCATACGTGTAGTTACGCTAGCGTAGTTATCGTTTCCTTCGCCTATAATACATTCGCATCGTGGTAATATACATACACAATGGATTTTAAGACGCTCAAAAACAAAGGCAAACTCATACTGAAAAAACGAGAGAAGCTGACCGAAGACGTGGTTAATCGTTATACAGATGAGGAAGCTCAACTTCAGTTGAACTTACTGGAAGATGCTTTCAGTAAGTACAACGAAGCCTACGATTTGAAAATAGTGGAAGCCAACGACGAGGAAATCGACAAGCTCATAGAGGATTTAGAAACGGTCAGTGACTACTATGTTAAAGCTAAGGGTAAATTAACAGGTCGGTTACATGAACGGACAGCTGCGACAAGCGTGTCTGAAAAAAGTGAAAACTCTAACAATACACTTAGACTGCCACCGATTAATATACCTACATTTGAAGGGGATTTCGATGATTGGTATCCATTTAAAGACCAATTTATCTCCATCATCCATTCTAACACCTCTATCGACAACACACGTAAGATGTACTACCTCAAGTCGAGCTTGAAAGGTTCAGCAGCTCAAATCATCGAATCAATGGCAACTATTGGGGACAATTACCTAGAAGCGTGGACACTCTTACTAAATAGGTACGACAACGAACGCCTAATTGTACAGAGCCATGTTCAACAACTACTGACACAAACCGTTCATCAAACGGAAACCGCCGTGGGCCTAAAGTCATTACTTGATAACACAAACAAACATTTAAGAGCACTCTCAGTACTACATCAACCAGTAGACAAGTGGGATGCTATCATCATCGGCATCGTTGCGACACGTTTGCCTACAGAAGTAAGAAGATGTTGGGAAATCGAGTCTGCGTCTTATCCTGAAATACCTACATGGACAAAACTTAAGAGATTTATCGAGAATCGATTACAAGCCTTGAATATGTTACAATACAAACCAAGCACTGTAAGTAATGTTATCAATGCTGCTAAGACAAAACAGTTCGTTAGAACTACAGCGCATTTGGCGACTGATAGTCAAACCAACAATCAGTGTTCAATATGTGCACAGAACCACATCATTTACAAGTGCAATACGTTTATGAAATCAAAACCCAGTGAAAGATTGAGTTTAGCAAAAAAGGCAAAAATATGTTTTAATTGTTTACGCACAACACATGGTGCGAATCAGTGCACAAATGAAAAGACTTGTAAAAACTGTGGTTTAAAACACCATACATTATTACATTTGGACATAAAAAAGGTCAATACACCAGAGGGTGAAAATACTTCAAGTGACCAGGAAAAGGAGCATGGGTTTCAAAGTACAACATCTCATCTTGGAGCAGCATACCCTACCACATCTCAGAACGTCATATTATCAACAGTATTAGTACATGTGAGTGGCAAGAATGGCCGAACAGTGTTATGCCGAGCACTCCTAGATTCTGGATCACAATCACATTTTGTCACATCGTCTTTGATAACGGAACTAGGTATTAACAGAACAAAAACACGTGTGATCGTCAACGGTATCTCTTCAGCAGAGACGACTGTCACCGAGATGGCCGAGTGCACAGTGACGTCACGCTTAAACCACAAGCAGTATCAAATTACTGGCTTGGTGACACCACGTATTACTGTTAACCTACCTGTCGACAAACTGGACACATCAAACTGGCATCATTTACAAGGCATACAATTGGCCGACCCTACATTCTATTTACCAGGAAAAATCGACATGCTGATAGGAGCTGAATTCTTTTATGACATTCTACAAGATGGCAAACATGTTGGACCAAAGGGTACTCCTATATTACAGAATTCAAGGTTTGGTTGGATCGTGGCGGGTTGCAGTAATAACATAATAAAAGATGATCTCGCACATATCACTACAAATGTTATCACATGTTGTACCACGTATCAGCAACTAGAAAAACAAATTGAAAATTTCTGGAATATAGAAGAAGTGCCTAGAGTGACAATTATGTCAAAGGAAGATAAACTCTGTGAAGACCACTTTCTTAAAACATTTAAACGCAACAAAAATGGACGTTATGTTGTTCGATTGCCGTTTAAGGAGACTCCACATTCTATGAACAGTTCATATGACGTTGCTGTACGAAGACTAGCTCAGGTGGAGAGGTCTCTTATCAGAAATCCGTCGGTGTACAACCAGTATCGTGAGTTCATGATTGACTATCTTCGACAAAATCACATGGAACTTGTGCAACCCACTGAAGACAGTCCGGTTATCTTTCTACCTCATCATCATGTTTCACGTCCCTCAAGCGTCACTACCAAATTGAGAGTCGTGTTCGATGGATCTGCTCTCATCTGTAATGGAAAATCATTAAACGACATGTTGCATCGAGGTCCTAAGCTACAACGAGACATTGTAAGAATTATCACTAGATTTCGAATGCACCGATATGTTTATACTGCTGACATACGTCAGATGTTTCGACAAATTAATATACACTCCGATGATCAGTGTTATCAAGGCATTGTGTGGCGAAATCACCCATCAGAACCAATAAAACAGTTCAAATTGAAGACTGTCACCTATGGTTTAATAACTTCTCCGTATCATGCTCTCCGTACATTAGCTCAACTAGCTGTTGATGAACAAGTGAATTATCCAGAAGGATCCACAATACTTAAGAATGACTTCTACGTTGATGAAGTCATGTCAGGATGTAACGACATCAATGATGCTAAAGCCCAAATACAGCAGTTGATTGACCTTCTTCATCAAGGTGGGTTTGATTTGAGAAAGTGGGCCAGCAATACACCAACCCTTTTAGAAAATATTCCAGCTGAACACCAAACGTTGCAGATCTCAATGCCCGAACAAAACAGTGTGTCTGTGTTGGGAGTTTCATGGAACACTACAAGAGATACCTTTTCATTTAAAGTTGAACCTCTACCATGTTTGGAACGCATCACTAAACGCGAATTATTAAGTGAAATTGCCCGCACTTATGACCCATGTGGATGGCTGGCGCCACTTATAGTCGTCGCCAAGATACTCATGCAGCAACTGTGGCAGACTGGTACCGAGTGGGATGATCCTGTGCCAAACCAACTACTTGAACATTGGATCGCTCATCGATCATCATACGAACATTTACAACGATTTGAAATCCCACGCCATGTTGGTGACATCTTAGATTGCCAACAGGGTTGCATCTTACATGGATTCTCCGACAGCTCTGAACGTGCCTATGCAGCTGCTATCTATATCGTTTCAAATGGCACTGGACATTTATTGGTGTCAAAAACAAGGGTTGCACCATTAAAAAGGATTACTATACCTAGACTGGAATTATGTGGTGCTACACTATTAGCACAACTGATGCACTCATTGATAGAATCACTCCAATTAAAAATTGATACAATAACAATGTGGACAGACTCCACAGTCACACTACAGTGGATACAAAGTGACGCCAACAAATGGACCACTTTTATATCCAACCGAGTTAGCCAAATACAATCATTAGTTCCGAGAGCTGAGTGGCGACATGTACGTTCTGCAGACAACCCTGCTGACCTGGCATCCAGAGGAGCTTCTGGTGATCAACTCGTAAATGACCATTTTTGGTGGCATGGACCCAGCTGGCTGTCTGAAAAGGATAAGTGGCCAGATTTCAATTCAAAAACTACAACGGCTTCAGATGCAACTGAAGAGTTAAAACATCTACCTACTATCACTGTATCACTGTTGAGCAATATTGATCCAATAGGGCAAGACCTATTGATGAAATGTTCAAATTACGAACGCCTCAACCGCATCGCTGCTTACATCTATCGATTCTGTTACAATTGCAAAACACCAAGGCGGCTGTCAGGACATATTACTGTGCCAGAATATAAACAAGGAGTACTTTTCTGGATCCGTATTGCACAACTCTCTGTTTTTAGCGATGAAATGAAACGAATCAAGTCATCCAAACCAGTTGCGACTAATAGTGTGTTAGCTAGTCTTGATCCTTTCATTGATAATGAAGGTTTGCTACGCGTTGGTGGAAGACTTCGGTATGCTAACATATCCTATGGTCAGAAGTATCCGATTTTGTTACCTAAAAATCATCCATATGTATATTTAATTATAAAACATGTTCACTTATATTACTTACATTCTAGCCTTGAAGTAACTATGTCAGTGATTCGACAAAAATATTGGTTGATTCACTGTCGCAGCACCATCAAGAAAGTTATACATGACTGTATACCATGTGTACGTTCTCAAAAGGAACTGTGTCAACAAATCATGGCTGATCTCCCTGCAGCTCGTGTTACCATGGCTCCTGTTTTCGCTCGAGTGGGAGTTGACTTTGCTGGGCCAATAACTACCAAACCTGTTGGAGTACGTACACGCACGGTTACAAAGTCATACATTGCTCTATTTGTATGTATGACAACAAAATCTATACACCTGGAAGTGGTGAGTGACTTAACTACGGAAGGATTTATTGCCACTCTAAAACGCTTTGTTAGTCGTCGTGGGTGTCCAACTGATATCTATTCTGACAACGGCACTAACTTTGTGGGTGCAAATAATAAATTAAAGGTTCTGTATAACTGTCTTTCCAATAATGAATTTCAAAAATCAATAACTACACATTGTGTTTCTAATAACATAAATTGGCATTTCAACCCACCAGCATCCCCACATCATGGTGGTTTATGGGAGGCTAATATAAAGAGTACTAAAGTCATTCTCTATAAAAACATGGGAAACATTGTATTTACCTTTGAAGAACTTAATACAGTATGTTGTCAAATAGAGGCTATATTGAATAGTTGACCTTTGTGTGCACTTGATGACGGTACTGTGTTGACACCAGGCCACTTCATTATTGGACGTTCACTGTTAGCTGTTCCTGAAGACGACATCGGGCCTATTGTCAACCATCGAAAGCGCTGGAACATTTTACAAAGAATCACCCAGACTTATTGGAAACAGTGGTCAAATACTTATCTAAATAATCTGCAACAACGATCCAAATGGCGCAAACCTCAAGATGATTTAGCTGTAGGCGATATAGTCATACTACGTGACACTGGAACACCTTCTACTCAATGGCCCATGGCGCGTGTAGTCGAAGTATTTACCGATCCTGCGGACAATCATGTACGAGTCGTACGCATACGCACCTCAAAAACTGAACTCATACGTCCTATTACAAAACTAGTCAAACTTCCTATTGAACATTGAGTTCCTACATTTATATTAAATATTATGTTTTTGTTAATTTTTTTTAAGCTCATTTATAATTTTCATATGTTATTGTTTTGAGACTATTGCTCAAGGTGGGCGGTGTTTGATAAAACTTTGTTGTTATCATTTCTTATCATGTACCTTGATATCAGTTTATTAACCATGTTATATTTTAAGGTTATGGTTATATTTTATCGTTTTAGTACGCGCTCTTTTTTGATAACATGTTATGCTTTTTCGTTTTCAAATACACAAGACATACAGTCCACATTCGACAGAAAAACCTCATGTTCTTTTTTACACCCATTTACATTTTCTATTTACACAGACATCAATAACAAATCCATTTTCTAGACTTAGCAGTTAAATACTAACAAAACATATGAAAAGGTTAAATAATGTAAACTAACGTTACAAAGTGACATAATATTATTATCTCAAGTCTTTGACATAAACATAATAGTGATTAAAGGTGTTACAACTACTATTAAATAGATACAAAGTAACAACAAATGTAAATTGTTACTTAATATAATATTTCGATTGTTATAAAAAGTTATTCATACTAACACGAATAGTAAAGTAATAGTAGAGAGCTTATAATAACAATAATTGGTAGTTGAATACCAACTATAATAATAATATTATATGAACAGATATTTAGATTATTATAAAAAGTTAGACATAATAGTGAAAACATATTATTATATTGTATTAATAATAACAATTGGCGGTTATAAAGTATAAAACAAAATGTGAAATGTTCCACAATAGCACAGTGTAACAAATGTAAATACAATCACAGTATAGGATTGTGAATACAATGTCAACTATAATGATATTTATATTTTATATTAACAGATAAAAAGTTATTCGTTCAGACATAAATTGTGGTTAAAAGTTATAGGCATAGACATAAAAGTTAAAGCATATTACAATTATTATAATAACAATTGGTGGTTACAAAGTACCTACCAAACGAAATGTAAGAAGTTACATAATATATGTATTTTCAATCGATACAATCATAGCATAAAATGTAAAAATTCTACTAACGGATCTTGAGATTATTAAAAAAATTTATCCATTCAGATGTAAATGGCAAATTGTGTTTAAAAGGTAATATTATATAATCAAAAGTAAAAACAAATTAAAAAAGGTACATAATATATTGAAACAAATTAATACAATTAGAATTAATATAGATATATTCAAAGTTACTCATACAGACATCAATAACAAATCCATTTTCTAGAATTAACAGTTAAATACTAACAAAATATATGAAAAGGTTAAATAAATGCTTTTTTACATTACATGACATAGACCATGTATTTAAGTAGGTATAAATGAATTTATTATTGAAAAGTACAATATTATGAATATTATTTTTCAAATCCTAACAAACCGTTTGACATTAGTTACGAATACACCTTTGAGTATTCGCATCCAGGGAGACCACGTGGAGGTTGTCAAACTTTCTCTCCGATTCACCTAGAAACATTGAACATCGAGTGTCACGTAAACTGGATTATTGAGTGTCACATTGACTGGATCATCGAGTGTCACCTAGACTGGACTATTGAGTGTCACCTTGACTGGATCATCGAGAGTCACCTAGACTGGACTATTGAGTGTCACATTGACTGGATCATCGAGTGTCACCTAGACTGGACTATTGAGTGTCACCTTGACTGGATCATCGAGAGTCACCTAGACTGGACTATTGAGTGTCACCTGGACTGGATCATCGAGTGTCACCTAGACTGAATTATTGAGTGTGACGCTAGACTTGATCATCGAGCGCCACCTAGACTCGAACATCGAGCTTCACTTACAGTTGTGAACACATAATGCATTACAGAACCTCTGTGTAAACGATGTTCTTGGTGACGAATCGCCCCCTGTCATCGGCGTACATGCCGACTCTCACGGACTGTGCGTTTCTCACCCTCGAAAATGCCACGTACAGCTGCCCGTGAGTGAACGGGGGCGACGTCAGTAGCAAACCTACCCTGTCGAACGTCTGACCCTGCGACTTGTTGATGGTCATGGCGAACTATAACCTCACCGGGAATTGAAGGCGTCGCAGTGAGATGGGCAGGTCGTCCTCGCTACTGGACGTGAGCGGTATCTTGGGCAGGACGATGTCGTCGTCCTGTGGGTCGCCGCCCAAAATTCTCGCCTTGAAATTGTGACGTCGCAGTTGGGTGACCACCAACCTCGTACCGTTGCACAGTCGTCTCCTCGGATCGAGATTTCTGAGCAACATCACGATGCACCCCACCTTCAACGTCAGCCGGAACGGCGGCAGGCCGTCCGGTTCCAAACCGTTGAGGAACTCTGTGGGGAAATTGGCCACTTCGTCGGCCTCGTCCGCCATCATGGTGTCGACGCCGGTGTAGGTCATCTCTTCACCAACGACGCGCTCCAGCACGTCGCCGTTGACACTCCTACACTCTTCGTTGGTGGGACACACGACGACTCTCCGAGCAAATTCTTCGACGTTGGCCAACGACATGTGCTGCGGATACACGAAATCGATTAAATCGGCGGGGTCGCATACCATTGCCCGCGGGATTTGCACGGTGTCCGGAACGCCGTCGACCGCGGGCAGTCGGCCGTTGCCGAGCTGAAGCAACCAAGACGCAAAGTCCGCGTCGTTGCCCGCGCGCATGTTCCGTACCAGATCGTAGCGCTCCATGACGTTCCAAAGACCGTTTTTCTTGATCGAAGACATGACGATATTGGCTCTCGTCCCTCTCCGGATCACGGGCAATATCTGTCTGAAGTCGCCGGCGAACAGCATGGTTTTACCGCCGAACGGTAATTCCGATACCATGACGTCCCTGAGCAGGCGGTCCACCACCGTCAGTTGCAGTCCCGGCGACATGGGGGCTTCGTCCCAGACGATGAGCGCCGCGTTCCGTTATTCTGCGCTCGCTCGGACTGCATGGTGATGGTGGACGTCGAGTCTTCGGTGAGCGTGCCGAACGGCAGTCCGAACGTCGAGTGCACCGTCATGCCGCCGTCCATGAGCGACGCGGCGATCCCGGTGTACGCGACGCACAACACCTCCCGCGGCTGTGGTCGGTGTCGAAGCGACCATATCAGGCATCCGTACAGCGTAGTCTTTCCGGTACCTCCGGGTCCGTCGACGAAGAAAGTTCGCGACGCCTCGCGCGGGTCGTCGACGGCCGCCATCACGCGGTCGTACACCGTTCGCTGTTCGGCGTTCAAGGCGTCCACTTGTGGGGCCCACCTTGCCGCCGCGTCTATTACTCGGAACAGCGCATCGTCCTGCTGCAGTGGTTCCAGTAGAAGGGGGTCGGCCAGGGGCAAACCGTAGTCGACCGGCGACTTTCCGTGCGCACGAAGTAGATCCTCGATGGCTGCCAGACACGCGGCCCTCGCGCGGGTCGAACGTCTTGGAGTCGTCTGTTGAAGTCCTCCATCAGGTTTGCTTCGTTCGCGCCGTACAACGCCAGCGAGTTAGAGGGCTCGCAGAACACCAGTATGGTGACGAACAATACCGCAGTTGCCGCGGTGTGTCCAACGTCGCCGATTCCGTCAAACAATCCCGCCACGCCCGGTCGTCTTCCAACAGTCCGAGTGCAACCGCAGCCGCCGTGAATGTTTCGTGAACGACCCCGTCCACCGTCCTTAGGTCTTGAAAGGACTGCAGGCCTCTTCGGTTCAGAAGTAGCAATCTCAAGTGGAAACGGTCCCGGTCCAGTGGGTTGACTACGTACATCCGAGCCAACGTAACGGTTGCCATCCGAATGAGCCGCGGACACCACTGTCTGAGATTTCCGAGATTTCTTTCTGGCCGTGGAACCTGCCACGTGTAATGCGTCGGTATGTCGTGGTACAAGTACTGTCGGGCCTCCACGTTGGTCGCGTTGAGCGCGAAGAACTGCGTGAGTTTCGTGTGACGTACGGCTTGGTTCTGTAGCCGTTCTTCTTCTTGGCCCGGCTCAAAGTACACGTTCTGACGACCCTCCAGGTGAACGGGAAGCCTGAAGACAACGTGACTTTTTGCCGTGCAAATT